TGATTTTGAAGTATCCTACACAGATCTTTGACAAACGGTCACATTTGAATATTCAATACCTCCGTTAAGTCTCAATAAGAACTCAAGTCCTTTTAGGATTTTTGCTAGAATTTTTTATAGTATCTATAAGCAAAACAAAAGATCATTGAACATGGAAGCAGACATCTGGAAAATCCACGCAATCTACCTATGTGACATTATCATCTATGTAATTACGTTCATGGACTTCGAATAATATCAAATATATTAAATAAAGAGACTAAATAATTCATAATTTTATCGTAACTTACTTGAGTTTTTTTTCAGATCGTTTACTTTTTTCTTTTTTAACTTCAAATTGATGATCACCTTTTTCACTATTCACTAATTTAACATCATATTTTGATTCATAACGAGCACGATCTAATGCAAATTTTACTTCCTAAAACAAAAAAAATTAAATAATTTTTTTGTTTTATTTTCATTAATTATTTTTTTTATGTTACATGATCTAATCTTTGTAAATAATGTCGATCAGATTCATTTGGTTTTTGTTCAAGTTCTGGATATTCATTATCTTCATTTGTATTTTGTTTAAATTTATTTTTATTTTTTTTCTTAGATGATTTTTGTAATTCTTGAGCATGTTGTTTATTATCAAGAAATTGTTGAAAACGATGAGAAATTTTATTATCAATTTTTTCACCTTTTTTTGGTGCTTGATTTGCACTAACTAATTTTCTATAGAACAAATGTATAATAATGAAAACTAATATTACATAAAAGAAAACAAAAATATATACAAACTTATCAACGAGAAGTTTTCTTGGACCGGAATAAAATGGATCAATAGCTTTTAATTTTTTATGTCGACGACCACCACGACGTTTTCGTATGAGTACCATTCTTTTTTGAAAATTTTGGAAAATGTTGCTACAGATCGAAATATTATATATATATATTCCAAAGAGAAAATATGATTGGAGTGTTTATTTGAATCAATGCATGATTCTAAGAAAGATGGCGTGGCTTTTTGGGAACTGTTCGAATAGACAAATGGAAATCAACGACAAGGAGTTAGCTACAGTCGAGTCCACTTATAAGAGCTCCGGATAAAGGAGCGGTTCGCTTATAAGAGCTTTGTTTTGGCGCTTTTTTGCGATTTGAGTCCGCATAAAAGAGCCATATTGTATGTTCTTTTCTTTTACTATTCATCTGTTGCACGTATGCTCTTTTTCGTCTTACTCACTTGTCCTAACTGACGTTTTTGCTGAGTAAGAAGAACCATTTTCTTTTTCTGTCTATTATTCATTTTCTAAACAGTCGGGCGAAGCTTCTCGACTTTTTCTCTAGTCCATCTATTGTCTCTCTCCTATGTATATATACTTGCTGTTTCTTCAATGAAGGGGTCAGATATTCATCCATCCAAAAGGTAATATATATTTTAGAAGAAGAAGACGAAGAAGAAGCCGATATTGTTGATGAACCGATGGCAGGTGTCTCTCATAAAGATGCACTGATGCATCTTTCGATGGTTCGCAAGTATTTGGAAGAGAATTTTACAGAGTATAATTCATACTATGATATCGAAGACATGATCGAAAAGAACGCTTTAATTAATCGTACTCAAAGTAAAATCACGGATTTCTTTAAGTAAATTTATGTATGTCTATGTACTACTTAATAAATGTTGACAAGAAACAATTTTTGCACTGTTTTACATATAGTTCGGATAAAGGAACGGTCCGGATATAAGAGCCTCTTTTAGAAACCTCGACTGCGCCCTTATAGGCGGACTCGACTGTATTAATGATTCGAGTTAGACGTTCTGGGATGTCTTGAGCAGATTGTTCTTCAATGGAGTCCGTCGGGTTGGTTCCGGATCCAAGTATGAGAATTTTGGATCCCATGAGCTCTATTCTCCACTCTTGAAAAATTTTCGTTTTTCTCTAGCGTTTTGTTATAGTTTTTGCTTACCTATTTCCCCAAAACTACTAAAAATCCTCCCAAATATGATCGATTCTATCTAATCGTAGCCATCTCAGGTTACCTTGGGTAATAATAATGTTCTTCAGTCTTTCATTCAGCATCGTTTTCTCGACACGAAAGAATATTCAAAAGGATTACCTTTCAAAGAACTAAAACACAAGACTCCAATGCATGAAGACATTCAAATTTTCTGTCTTTTTTTTATTGTTTAACTTCTGAGTTATCGTTTTACATTAGTTTTGTTTGCAAAAAAAATATTCTTATCGGTAGCAATATAGCGCCATCTTTTATTTTATTTAATTATTGTTAAAAGCGAACAATCAAATCGATTTTTCTCTCTTTGTTTTTTTTTCCTTTTAACAAACTCGACTATAAATATTGTACGCTTGATCATAAGGACAATAACAATATCTTTGATTCAAGACGCCATTTATTTTTTTCCTTTTTTGCTTCAGACTTTCATCAACTATAAAAAAAATGGGTAAACGTAAATCAAAACGAAAGCCACCACCAAAACAAAAACGAGTTGCAGCTCTTACTCTTGTATTTCCATGTCCATTCTGTTCACATGATCGTTCATGTGAAGTTAAAATGTAAGCTATAATCAAGAATTTTTATCAAATAAATAAATATAAATTGTTTTTTTTTTTATTTTCTAGTGATCGAAAAGCAAATGTAGGTACAATTGAATGTCGGATGTGTCAAGAAACATATTCAACAGCAATTCATTGTAAGTATTATTTTTTTTTTAAATTTTTTCTATTCTATCCTATATTTATAGATTTAAGTGAACCAATTGATGTATATAACTCATGGATTGATGCATGTGAAGAGCAAAATCGAGATTAATTTTTTTTTCCTTCTTTCTTCATAACAATATTTTGTTTGGTTCTTTTTTTTTTTTTTTATACAAAGAAATATAATGTTTTCTTTCGTAATTCGACAAAAAATATATATTATTTTTACAGATTAGAAAATATTTATAAATCAAAAAAAAAAAAAAGAAAATGGGTCGTAAAAAAAGTAAACGACAACCACGAAAAAGTATGAAACGAATACAAACATTACCAACAGTTTTTGAATGTCCATTTTGTAATCATGAAAGTTCATGTGATGTAAAATTTGATCGAAGAAAACAACGTGCACAAATTTTATGTCGAATTTGTTCAGAAACATATGAAACTGATGTGAATTGTAAGTATGAACAAATACATAGGGCGATTTAGTTTCATGAACAAATCAAAAGGTAGCTTAGAAGATTTACAATGACAATTGAATTTCTTTTCGAAAAACTTCTCAAGATAACATTTCAGTTTTTCTCTCGAAAAAATTCGTTTTCACAATCAGTAAAATCTTCATTTCTATGACTTAAAACAATGCTCCATTTATGTATTTTATTCAAGTAATTCGTACATGGAAGAATATATTCCAAACTATAAAAAATATTTTTCAAAACAGATGCAAACAAAGCTAAATTATATTTTAAGAGTATCCTTATTTTAGATTGTCTATCTGTGGTAAAAATTCCAGGCAGGTCGATTTTATTCTCTTCATTGACTAGCAATAACCAGAAAAAAGAAGGCGAATACCTTTAAAATGGGTTTTGTCCACAATAATCAAACGTCAACATAAGCAACTAACTTAAATAACACTGATTAAAGAAAAATTAATTTTCTTTCAGTTATATTGTCCTATGGAACAATAAATATTACTTATGGAGATCGTATCCAACATATAGGATGAAGACAATATTGGTATGTCTTTAATTGGGTTTTTCGTTACTAAACGTTCTAACAATCTGCAGTTCGCGAACTCAATATTCGTTTATACCTTCTTGCATTAAATGACTAACTATAGAAATTATTCAAATATAATTTTCTGTCTATTTTTTATTTTAGATTTATGTGAACCAATCGATGTATACAATGCATGGATTGATGCATGTGAAGAAGCTAATAAAAATCAATCGATAGTATCATAAACATTTCTCAGGATAATTTATAGTTGTTTTTTTTTTCTTTTCTTTTCTTTTGTCGGATATTATTTAACTTTGTTTCTCGTCAACAATCAATTAATCTTTCATTTCCTATGAACAATCAAACTGATGTTTTCTTTTTGTTGTCCGGTGTTTATTTCTTTTGCTCATTATTTGAACAGATATTTATTTATTTCATTTCATTCCAGTATTATGTGGTTCTTTTGGTTCAGATAGTTTCTATTCCTTATTGTTATTAATGAAATAAAATAGAAAACAAAAAAAAAACAATTTTAACATTCATTCCAACAAGCACATTTACTAGATAATGTTAAATTATATTGTTTATGTTCATATTCTCCATTAATAATAAGTTGATCAAGTTCTTGAGAACATACAAGATTAACAATGGATTGACGATCATCTGCTGAATATATAAGTGTTGCTTTTCCATCCATACTTATTGACCATGTTACAATTGAATTATAACCAAGAATAAAAGAAACTGATTGATCTTTGTATGCTAAAAATACGAGATATTTGTTCTTTTTTTTTTGTTATTTAAAAAACAAAACACTTACTTTGACATATAGCTACATTAATACAAGATGGTTCTTCAGAAAATGAATAGCATGGATTGTAACTGTAGAAGATTAAGAATATTTTCAATAAATAAATTAAATAATAAAATCTTACGAATAATAAAAATCATCTTTATGAATATGTCGAAAAGCAGGTATGCCATGTTTCAAACCAACTTGAGATAAATTAATCCTACCAAATCTACCATCTTTATAAGTACAATCATTTTTAGTTAATACATTAATAGAAGCATGTTGTGTAAGCTGAATATTAAAAAAAACAAAAAAGAAGAAAAGTTTCATCATCATTCAGCACAAAAAAGAAGAACAACCAGATATAGTTAGTTAAATAGAAAAATGTTGAAGTGTTTAAGCAAACAATATAAAATAAAAGATAAATGAGGATGATGAAGTTTTACTATTGTTGTTACTTTGTTCTCAGATTATTTCATTTTGTTTGAAAGCAGATCCTTGTCATGATGATGTCTTGGTTAACAATATTCACTTGTTTTGCTTTTTTATCATCACTAATTATTGCCGATGATCCATGTCGATTTGAATCTTCTACAAAAGGTGTCATAGATTTAACTTCTTTAGGTCGAACTGATGGAAAAGCTGCATATCCTGATAAATTACCAACGACAGGATCCGGCTATAGTATGTTGAATTTGTCTTAATATGCATTATTTAATATTTATTAATGATAGAATATAGTTATAATCCTTGTAAACCATTTACTGAAAAACCTAGTTGTAATGGAGTAGCTGTTTGTCAAGGTTAGTAATTTGATATAATTCACCTATTTTACTTTATATTGTATTTAGTTTCGATGGATGGAAAATTTAGCTTTTCCCTTGGTACACAAGAGAGTGCAAGCTGGAATCAAGGTGGTATAGGAGGTGGTCCTTCGGTTACTTATTCAGCTGGTGAAAAAACAGTCGTTGTTACATTAGAATGTGTAAGTGATGGTACCAATGAATTAGAAGCTTTAGGTGAACCTACAACCAATCACTATAAACTTAATTTAAAAAATAAATGTGCTTGTTGGGATGAATGTAAAAGTAGGGGCAAATTTTGAAGGATAATATTTGTTTTAATTATCTTCTTTATAGATGTACCACCAGAAACAACAACGAAATCATCAGAAGGAGGTGGCGGCAGCAGTAGTCTTTCTGGAGGAGCTATATTTACCATAATTTTTCTTATTCTTGTTTTTGATTATTTCACTGGATTTGTCTTATAGTGTAAAAGATGAGAACTTTCATATTGAACTTTTTTAGTTGTTTTTGGTGCTGGATTTAAGCTAATTAATTTTCTATAGCAAACGAAAAGAATAAAGACAATTAATAGAAATTACGGCATTTTTATTGAAACCAATTGCCAAAAAAAATTGAGTTTTTAAAATAAATTAGCTAGGTTGAAAGAACAGAAAATGTTATCAAAAAATCTAAATTTGCACAACTGTTAGCCTGTATTTTGTAATACTTTGACAGCCTGATTATTTTCACTCGCAATACCAATCTATCAAAAACTATAGTTCTTAAGTTATTTTCATGTAGGAAATATTGTATTGCAAAAAATTCAGTTTAGGTATTAAGGAATAATATCAATCGATAGTATGAATTTCGCTCTGCGAAATTCTATATCTTATATATGTTATGAAGTTTCTGGGAAAAAGAAATACTCCATTATAATATGTGAAATCGATGATGATTTAGCCTATTTCACTTAATGTCTTGATTCTCTTTGCTTCTTCTATCTAGTCATTTTTTTCTCAAGAATTTATAATGAATTTCTGATGGGTTTTTAGAGTGCCAAAGGACGGATCTTTTTATAAAAAATATGTTGAGGTCTCAAATATTAGCACGATTCCAAAAAGTTCATGATAATGTTGTTTATTATAAATAATATTTTTTGATATTTTTATGAAACTGTACTTACCAATTTTGTATAAGAACGTTAATAAATGATTGAAAACTTTAAATTGTTGAATCAACATTCTAGAATATGTTTAGAAACACTGAACAAAATATTATCTTCTTACTCATTTTTCTGTTGATACTACTTACGTCAAATTATTTCCTAAATTGCCGATTTTCGAATTTTAACGCCGAATTGTTCACTGAAACGAAAGGTTTACATATAGACTGATATTAGACATATCTGTTATGATAATCTGAATAATGGGTAAGCTAATAATAGGTAGCCGACTAAACTCTTGGACTTCATTGCAGCATACCTTTGATGAATGACATTCAATAATGGTAGCATAAATAGTTGGAAATCATCTTCAGCAGCTTTTCTGTTGTATTAAGACAGATATTGAGACACATTTTTTATTCTATGATAGTTCAGGCAATATTTCAAACAATAATTTGTTGTGCATTACGATACTTTAGTTTTTAATTCCCAAAAGACTTATCTGATTGTAGATGATGTGGCTGAATAAATACAATAATGTGCACTAATTATTTCTAGGTATTTAATTGCATAGAATCGTGAGTGATTTGTACAACAACGCCTCGTTCTATATTGGAAACGATGACACTACTTTAAACAACGCTTATATAATCATATATTCTCAATTATCTCGAAAAAAACCCTAGCTACGTGCGACATTTATTCTCTAATCTATCAATTTTGGAAACTCGCTTTTGAACAAACTCGTTGGCAAACCTAGAGTTGTGACTGACGATAATTGTCTTTTTGTCGACAAATGTTCGGTTGGATAATAACGATCTCTGCACGTGTCCTAACTGTTCGTAGTCTCTAAGAAAAGAAAAAAAATTATGCAATTTGAGACGAGTTTAGTTTTAAAAACGTATAGTAGTTTATTCAATGTCACATTTGGGCTTGATTTTAATTAATTTTTTACTTCTTCATCAATCGAATCATTCACACATCCACATATAAAAAAAAACACGGTCAAAAAATCAGATTAAAACTGATTTTTCAACTAAAAATTACAAAAATTCGATTATAGACAATAGTTTTGATTAAATTCAACAAAATAATAGATTAAAATTGATTATTCGGCAAAAAACCTGAATAATTGATTAAAAATCTAATCAATTTTAATAAATTTCAAAAACAATCTGCTTTAATAAATTTCTTCTCAAATAATCTATTAAAATCGATTTGCTTATGAATAACTCTAAATCACTAATTAGAAATCTAATTAATTTTCATAGGTTTGAAAAATAATTGTTTATAACCCATTTCCTCTCGAATAATCTATTAAAATCCATTAACCTTTGAATCATCATAAATAATCGACTAGAAGTCTAATCAATGCTAATAGATTTTTAAAACAATCTATAAAATAAATTTTAATGTATTTCAAGAATAATCTATTGAAATTAGTTTGCTTTAGAGTCATTAAAAGAAGCCAGTGAGAAAAGATATTGTTTTAATCGATTTGAGGAATAATCTCTGAAAGTTTTGGTTGTTTAGAATAATGTGAAATATTGATGAGTGTGGTTCCTTAAAAGGCGGAGTGTGGAGCTCACAAACTTTCAGTCGTATGAATCTATGGTGTATTGTAAGGAAGGGTGTAACAATTTATTTGAAGAAAGTGAAATAGATGAACAATTGAAAATGGTAACAGTTTCTATAGTTGGTATACTTGCTCTAAAATTTGAACATTTCGAAATAGTTTGCATTCAAAAGTCCAATTCTGCCAATTTGTTAGATTTATTTAATATCTTTTTGCTTGAAACACTTATTTGTATTTCCAGAGACATTTCCAATATGATATTGTTTTGTCGTATTATAATAGAGGTATTACATATCATAAAAAGCCGTGAGTATCATTTAGTTCCGGGTTTTGTCGGTTCAAGCATCATATTACCATGCTATACACATTCATATAAGCCCCTTCATAATAGAACACTTCGAACCTTCTATCATGTTCAAATGTATATCGTTTTCAGGAGGTCTTCTATTGTGTTCCACTTTTTTTCATAACTTTTAATGAAAGAAATTTAAAAAACCCAGGAAAAAAATGCTGACATCTGTCTTTTAAGATTTTTCAGCTCTTAGCCCTGAATAGTAGGCATCTGTTGATGCAAATATATTGATTAAAGTACCTATTTTTTGATAAATCAACTAATTAAGATCCAGACTTTTATGATCTCCGATGTATCGTTTCTTCAAAGTAGTCTTTTATTACAGAAGAAGTTTAATCATTCAAGTAGTTATTGAGCACACCATTGCTTCTCTGGACACACATAAGCATATACTGATGAGCTTTTCCTAACTTTAGAACTGAATCAATTCCTACTTTTCAGTTTGCATCTTATTCTGACTCCGTTAGATCACTAATATCATTATGATACTAGCTGATACTTGCAATAAGAGCCTTTCTCTGTACGTAGTAACAGAAATCATAATAAATACGCTAGTTAGAATCTACAGTAGAAATCTAAGATACATAAAATGCTGTGAAAGATTCTGGAAAGTTCAAGAACGATTCAGGCAATGTTGTTACTGACACATGTTTTCCCGTTACTAGGGATACGTATTGTAGGACTGATGCCCTCGCCTTCAACCATTGTTCTGAAAACATATTCTATAATCGTTGGATTTTCATTCGTAGGTGGTAGGGTCTAAAGTGAACGAAGGAAAGAGTGGTGGGAAGCAGCAAAAAGCTCGATTCAAGCTTTCACTCACTATGTTTTCTTCGGAAATATGTGAGTTCCACAATAATTGAGTAAAAGTTCAATCAATTATAAACGCTTTTGAAAACAATCCCTTTAAAATCCATTAATTTTAGAATATTCCAAAATAATTGATTATTTTTCTTCTAACCGATTTGAATCAATTATTAATATAATTGCACCATCTCGATTCAAGGAAATTGACATAGGAGTTCCAACTTTACCACATATGTGTGACTTTGGTTCAGTAGCAACTCTATAGTTTTCAAGCATGAGCCATCCAAATAACCATGGAAAATTAGAGATTTCGTGTTCGAATCTGGAGAAAACCACTTATCTTCGATATGTATGATTATAATAGATTAAAAGGTAATAATAAACTACAGGGTAGTAATGAATTCAAATGATCGATTATGGAATAAAATCAAGTTAATCCAATTTTTTGATTAAAAATCAATATTAATGATTAAATATGCATTATAATCAAATTTTTTACAATTTTTTTTTTTTACATGGGTCACATCTGCATTGTCAACAAAAGTTTAATAAAAGACATAACGAAAGATTTCAATCTGTGGAAGTGAACTTTTTCTTAAATTTTCTTTTTCCATTGTTTCTATGACACAATAAAATGTTATGATCTATCATGATGAACATTATTGATTAAACTAAACATAATCAAGCGTTGTCCAATACAAAGACGAAATATCAATCTTAATTGTTTTTACGACTCTACAAAGCTAGTAATGACCTTCGATGATTTCAATCAATCTTTTGATTATCAAAGTCATTTTCTTTAGGTGTAATCACCAGACAAAAGAAAAAGATGCTCGAGTTCAGACTTACAATCATTAAATATCTTGAAAAATAAATATTTTCTTTATCAATAGTCATTAAGTCTTTCTTTCCAAATCAAAAGTAATCAAGTAATAGGCTAGAAAGATAAAACAACAAAACTATGCAACAATTATTATACAATGGTTCTCACAAGTTTTCCAAGTAGAATAAATTTTAATAAGTTCCGTTCCATCAAAAATATAGAGAATAAAGCAATGAGAAAAAACAAATTACTGCCAGTTGAGAATAAGTTTATACAAAACTTTTTCAGTTTACAAAAGAAATCTTTGAAACTGATACAACAACAGCAAAAATGATTTTTTTTAATGAAAATATGTCATAAAAATATATAATGACATCTTCGACATGAATAATATAAAAACAATGAAAATAGAAGGGAAACATCACTGCAATAAGCAAGTTCATGAACATTGAATATAAGTATCATATAACACTAACCTTCAGTTTATTACTGTTTCATATCTATGAAGTATTTCAGGTAACAATAAATTATCGATCAGTCATTGCTATTGCACATGATTTCAAAGGCAACAGGAGATACGTGATAATCATGGGATTAACAATTAATCATATAAAGATTATCTAATGATATGTAATAATCATAATATTGACATTATGACAAGAAATACTTATAGAATTTTTTTACATTCGATCTTCAATCACTCAAGTTTATACCAATTTATATGCAAAACTTTCAATTAAATGAATAATTCTTGACTAAAATTCAAAGAAACAAACAGCATCGAAAAAATACTTTGTCTTGAGTGTTTTTTTTTTTGTTTTTTTATCTTATCAAAAAGAGAAAAAGCAAAAAGATGATGCTTTAATCGTATTACTAATGACATTCTAGAAATATGATTCAACAGTTTTAACTTTCTGCACAAACTATTAACGTGAACTTTCGGAATCTTGTCAATACTTTAGACATCAATATATTTTTAAGAGAAGATCCATATTTTGATATTCAGCAAAACCGACTCAAACATCGTCAATTTCACATTTAATAATGGCTTGTTTATTGTTTTCGAGATACTTTTAGACATATTTGACATGACGAGATCCGTAGAATGAATTCCATACTATCTATTGATATTATTTCGTAATGTCTTGATTGAATATTTTGTGATTCAACATTTTTCTACACAAAAATATCTTTAGAGCGATAGTTTTTGATAGACCGATATTGAGGATGAAAATGATCAGCTTGTCGAAGTAATAAAAAAAATATAGACCAATAAATTCTGGAAATTAAGACTTTTCGATAACATTTTATGCTCTTTTAACCTAGCTAGTTCCTTTCGAAAGTTCAAATTTTTTGCCAATCGATCCCCATTCTTTTGTAGTAGTAATTTCATGTGCACTCGCTTAAGGCGAATTTGAAAACGAAAACAAATATAAGAATATATTTATCATTACTCAGCACAAGAAAAAAAGAATAACAATATAATGAAGTTAGTCATATAGAAAAATGTTGAAGTGTTTAAGCAAACAATATAAAATAAAAGATAAATGATGATGATGATGAAGTTTTGCTATTGTTGTTACTTTGTCCTCTGATTATTTTATTTTTTTTTTTGAAAGCAGATTCTTGTCATGATGATGTCTTGGTTAACAATATTCACTTGTTTTGCTTTTTTATCATCACTAATTATTGCCAATGATCCATGTCGATTTGAATCTACAAAAGGTGTCATAGATTTAACTTCTTTAGGTCGAACTGATGGAAAAGCTGCATATCCTGATAAATTACCACCAACAGGATCCGGCTATAGTATGTTGAATTTGTCTTAATATGCATTATTTAATATTTATTAATGATAGAATATAGTTATAATCCTTGTAAACCATTTACTGAAGAACCTGCTTGTAAAGGAGTAGCTGTTTGTCAAGGTTAGTAATTTGATATAATTCACCTATTTTACTTTATATTGTATTTAGTTTCGATGGATGGAAAATTTAGCTTTTCCCTTGGTACACAAGAGAGTGCAAGCTGGAATCAAGGTGGTATAGGAGGTGGTCCTTCGGTTACTTATTCAGCTGGTGAAAAAACAGTCGTTGTTACATTAGAATGTGTAACTGATGGTACCGATGAATTAGAAGCTTTAGGTGAACCTACAACCAATCACTATAAACTTAATTTAAAAAATAAATGTGCTTGTTGGGATGGATGTAAAAGTAGGGGCAAATTTTGAAGGATAATATTTGTTTTAATTATCTTCTTTATAGATGTACCACCAGAAACAACAACGAAATCATCAGGAGGAGGTGGTGGCAAAAGTGGTCTTTCTGGAGGAGCTGTATTTATCATAATCATTTGTGTGCTTCTTGTTACTTATTTTGTTGGATTCGCTGCTTATTATCGTTTTCGTTTGGAACGAGCAGGTGTTGAACTAATTGCTCATCGAACATTTTGGGTTGGTTTGCCTGGTTATGCAAAAGATGGTGTTGTTCATGTATATCGACGAGTATTAAATAAAGGCGATACTCCATATCAGTCGGTTTAAAATAAAGAGGGTTTACATTATTTTCAAAAATTTTCTTTTTTTTTTGTGTTTTATCCCTCTTTTATGCTACATATTTTTTCTTAATAAATATTTTTTTTATGACAATGACAGAAGAAATTCAAGCGAAATGCACCAATGCACTTCAGAATATTTCATGTGTTATTTTATTCATGAAAAAGAAAACGATTCCAACAAAGTAATGTTGACAAGGACCTTGCCTGATTCAATGACCTGTCTAAAACTAGGATACCATATATGCGGATTTGTAAACCAATTTGCGGTACATCCAATGGTATGTGATTCAGTTTGTTTAGTTCAGTACCACAGAACAAGTGAGTACCATTATCAAGCTTTCTCAAAAGTTGCACACTATCGAGCTCTATATATTTCACATATAACATCTCTTGAAACAGAAGGAATTCATTATCCACGTACTAGATTGCCCCCTAGAATTGTCTATTTTTCTCTATAAGAAGGCCTATATATTGTCGATATTTTAACAATACTCACCGGTTCTATTAAGTGTTCATGTACCAATAATCAGCATAGCATTACTGAAGCACTGATATAAATAATTTTTTGATAAATGAGAAAACATCTTTTTGGCCTCCAGACCTTTGGAAGGGGTACATGTATATGGGTTGCAGGAAGATTTTTTAACTCTATTTTTCTTTTTCAAAAATTTCAATCTTTCTACATCTTCGTACCCGCTCATCAAGCGTCTAGAGGTCGAAGGTTTTTTTTTCATATTTATAAAAGAGCTATTTATATCAGTACATGAAAAGTTAGTAAGATCGTTGATAATTGTTAAAATATTGTCACTACATCAGTCATTTCATATAGAAAAATAGACTATTCTAGGAGATAGTCTTGCAAGTTGATAGTGAATTCCTACTGTTTCAAAAGATTTTATCAGTGACACATATAGATCTCGATAATGTATAGTTTTTGAGAAAACTTTACGTTGATGCTCATTGGCTCTGTAGAACAGAGTTGAACACCCGAGAATATCAAGTAGTCCAGAAAAACCTAGACTTAAAAAAGGGATCAGTTTTAAGTATGAAGAAAGCAATAATGAAAATTATTGATTATAACAATCGAAGAACATTTGAAACTAAATCGAATTTAGTTTAGAAATAAAATTTACATAAATTTATCTTAGATTTCATAAAACTTGATTTCTAATATAGCATTGGATGCGTCACAAATTGCTCTACAAAACCATCTATATAGTATGCTGGGTTAAGACAGGTAACCAAAGGCCTTGTATTTATTATCATTAGAAAAAAAAATCACAAAACATAACAATTATTTTTTTGTTTATTAACTATTTTAATCAAGAGAATCTGGTGCATTAATAACATACGTTGTTGTTTGTAAATTTTTTTCATGCTGTCGATTAACATAAATAATTTCTTCTAAATATCTTCCAACATTAGAATCAGTATGTCCAACAACAAGTGATGAATGATCAGTAATGAATTGTACATTGACTAGAAATTGATCAAAACCAATACGAATAAATGGATCAAAACAAGATTGAGGAGCAAAAACATTATATATTATTTCTCGATGATGTAAATGTTGACGTGCATAAGGTTCATCATTAGTTGAACTAGTTAAACCAACACGAGAATATTCTTGAATAGATTTCATTACTGTTGTATCATCAGTCATAACAAATATTGCTGTGTAATTTATATGACGACGTTTTTCTTCATCAACTATACCTTTAACATACATTGATATATTTCTCCATCGTTGATGTTTTTGCCAAAATGAGTCTTCAGGCATTTTATCACCACGACGAATGAATAAAGTAGCCATTTTTGATAAAGCTTCATCATAAGGTTTATTATATTTATCAGATAAATATTCAGACCAATGATGAGCTAATAATTTTGCTGATGTTTGAATACGTGGAGCTAATTGAGAAAAGAATAAAAGAAACATATAACGAAGAAATGAACTAAAGATATGATCAGGTATTGTTAAATTGGTTGAAGTACCTAAATAAAAACGAGAACAAATAACAATAATCTCGAATATTTAATAGAAAAGATAATGGATATATAGGAACTACAGATTGTTTGACATGCTTCCGAATATCTTTAACAATGTAACACTAACAAAGTAATAACGTACTGGTGTCTTAACTTTTTTGCTATTGAAGCTTGTCAGGTTTGAACCGAAATAGTCTATTTTGAATTGATTTGCATGTGAAAAAAAAAACTCAATTGATTGGATCCTAAAATTACGTATTTAGTTAAATTGATTTAGAACTAAAACAAGATTAGCACATGTCTAAATAGAAATACTAATCTAACATCATTAATAATGTCTTTGATTTTCGACAATAAACTTCAAATACTCATCTTTGATATCCGTACGATTGTGTAAACATTCATAATTAATCATCTAAAACACGATTTAAAAAGAGTATTGAAGTAGATAAGTAGAAATTTATAGCCAACTCTCTCCCTACAGACATGACAGACATATTAGCAACATCTCATCTTGTTTGACGTACTGTAGCAGACATTGTTGATATACCGTCCTTAGTGTATTCTTGTCGATTAAATAAAAGGATGATGAAAAAATATATTCCAAAAGAGATATTATAAAACAATTCTTCTGTGATTAGCGATAGCAGCTGTATTATGATTTTCGAAGAAAAAAATCATGACTGTAAGTTCTCAGTCGAAGTTTTGTAACTTCTCTTTTATAGCAACGGAAACGAAAGTTCAGAAGCCAATGTTTATATGTTCCCTAGCAAATGAGGGGAGAAGTTAATAGTGATTGGCTATGCTTCTATGATAACTGAAAACAACTGGCATGCTATTTATTTTTCAGAATTTTTTAGTAACGAAAAAAGGTGCTGAACGTCATTATTTATAAGACTTAGACTGTTTCAGAACATTCTAAAGACTTTCTGGACATTTAATTGTCTGGAATACGTTTATCAATATTCTAAATAGTGCGATTAGTCATTTCTGTGAAATTTATGAATATAAATTATGTACGACAGATATTTTTCTAGAACGAGTCTGATGAGAACGGAAATGAGAAAGCATATTTAATGGTGATTTTTGTAGCGTAAAGCGTGCTCTTTTCAATGGTATATTAAAAGTAAAATTTGCTCTTGTTCTTTTTTTTTATAGCAAAAGATAATTAAAAAAAAAGACTCAAATAAGTTAATGATTCTTTCTACCTGACCATTTTATAACAGTAAAAAAGATGTTTTTTGAATTATATCCTCTGGTTAAATTTCTATAATCTGAATTATTTCGAATCAATAACGCAAAAGAAATTTAGCTCATGTATAATTTCTGAAGTTAGTGTGGCTAAGAGTCAAAGAAAGATCTAGAAAATGTTGTCAAAACTGTTATCGATAGAGTTTTTAATATTCTATATTTAAGTGTATTTTTGTTCCACTTTGATCCTTTTATATAACTCAAACTTTTTTCAAGCTGTTTGGTTTTGAGATTTTTCTCCTGGTCAGATTCATTCTGGAAAATCATGTCTGGCATGATGCCAGAAATGTAAAATAAAAGCAAAATTTCTCCTTTTATTTTTACTGTATGATTAGATAGGACGTGATGAACTGATTCAGAATATGTTTTTTTTGCAAACATCTACTTATTCTGAAAAAGGTCAATTTTCGATAATCGACAAATAGTTAGTTTTTTTTCCTTTTCTTCAAATTTCGAAGCTGTTTTTTTTTCACATAGCGAATCTGAAGCAAACAGTTTTGAAATTTAAAAGGAGCTAAAAATTGACTCTTTTTTCACAAAGTGTAGATCATTGGAAAAACATGCAGGTTTTTTCATACAAACTCATGTCAAAAGCAAATGAAAACACATATATCCTTAATCGTAGTTCAGACGTTGCTTTTTTCTTACAAAAAAAGAAATTTCAACACTAACCAACTAGAACATCTTTCGGTAGTGCTTGTGGTGAATTTCTTGGTACCCATTTATTTAAATCTAATGAAGAATCATTAAAATAATAAATATGTTCATTTGCATGATTAATAAGTAATGCAATAGGTGAATGATAATTAATAATTTTTTTAATTTCTTCTCTTTTTCGATCAAATAACCATCGTCTATGTGGTACATGATCATAACCAAATTTCCAAATTTCTCTACTATATTTATATTTAATTGTTGATTCATCACGTTCAAGTAATTGATTAATATTATTAATAATTTTTGTATTAGATGAACCATATCCAATAGATTGTATATGATTATGAAGAGGTTTTAATATTGGATGATTTAAATACGATGAACATAATGATATTGATTGATAATAACGAAGTATACCTTCATTTTGAAAATCTTCTACTGCTGCATTTGATACAATAAGACGTCTAGGTAATAATAAAGTCATTGATGGTGAATATAAAGTTTGTCCAAAATGTTCAATTAAACAATGATGACGACTAAAAAAACCCATTGGCCATTGTTCTAAAACAAATAATTGTCGAGTTAAACAAGTTTTTATATCATCTTTGGGAAATTGTTTTTCTAATAAATAATTTAATGTTTCATATTGTGCTGCCTGATTCCAACGAACATCACCATGTTTATTAAGCCATATAATTGGGACGGATGCAGAGCGAAATTTCGATTCAGAATATTCAATTGGTTGTGTATAATCATTTTTTTGTTCATCATCGTTATTATTTTTATTTGAAAAAAACATTGATCGAGCAATATTATCAATTTGTATACGTTCATATTCAATAAATGAACGAGATTCTGGATAAACATGAAAATCATGTGTACGAATATTTGATGATACATTTGAAAATGGAGGAATATCGTTTGATATATTAATTTTATTTTGTGAAGAATTTTGATAAGAAAATATATAAATGAATACAGCAAATGAAAATAAGAATACACTAAGTATATAATTCGACTTATTTGATCGATAACGAAAGAAAAATCGTAACATTTTTATGACAAGTAATAACAATTTAATATATATTTATATATTGCCAATATTAGTTCTCTTATACAATTTAAAAAGAGAAACGAAAAATAAGAGATGAATTATATAAAGAATATATTATTGAAGAAAGTATGTTAAAGTCAATGATCTATGAAAATTAAGAAAGCAAAGAATTTATATTTTGAATCTTTCGAGCATTATTAGAAATTCAGATATTCGCTGGAAATAAAAGACCAAAAAAAAAAGCATAAATCTTTTTTTTTAATACTATGTTATTTTTTGGCTGCTCGCCTATGTAACACGTTTGTTTGTAATTTCTTCCGGATAGACTGGCAATAGATTACCGATCGACGAACAACTATCGGTATACCGACGATTTTTTTTTACTACCGACAAATGTCACCTGTATGTATAGTGCCCATTAAGCCGAATATATTACCGATAGTTTTCGTATAGTGTGAAGTATATATGTAATTATAAAGAATATTATTCAAAGTTAATTCACAAAACGAATTTCTATCACTATACTATTGATCGAGTTCTAGCATTTTCATTTTCGAAATTTTGCATGATAAACTGTTGATAATTTTATTCAAAATAAAAGAGTAAAAAATCTGATCATAAAATATATCAACTAATCGGTCCTTCATAGCAACTGCTTCAAGCCTTTTCTACTTGAATTACGAATATCAGTTTACAAAGTAAACAATATACATAAAATGGTAATCGCTTTATCCAATGGATTTTCATGCCCATGAAAAATATGAGAACCAACTTGAAATCCTATGTGCAAGGTTTTATTTACGATAAGGAGTCGTTCATAACAGATGTTTAGGTAAAAATCATTTGTTTTTGAGCCTTCTGCTGTAGTTTCATCAATAGCCTTTCAACTTCTCCCGGATGTCTAGTAAAGACCATTGGATCCAAAATTTCCGGACTCGGTTAACAGAAAAAATTCAAACTTAGAGCCAACCAGGTCTGAGTTAGAAACTAGTCCAACAGACTCTAACATCCATTATAATTTTTAAATACATTTTATTTTAATAAATCGAATAGAAGAAAAACAAAATATGACATTCGATTTATCACGGTATTCGTATTCAGATGATTCATTTAGAATATTCATAGTAAGTGTCTGAATATCGAGAAATGTTTGAAATTTCTCGCTGTTTACTGTAATGTTCTTAATGCATAATCTCTAAGTTTATATCAACAAATTTTATTTGTCATACATAAATTTACGTTGATTATTACTAAACAGATAAATTCTATTCCCTAAATTAAATAAAACAATTCTAATAAGTACATTTTTTCTTTAATTAAAATCTCATATTATATCTTTAATCAAAATATGAAAAAAAGAAAGATTCAGCATTTCTCTAATCTTTAAAAATGTTTTCAGTTTTCATTTTATCTAAATCTTATCATATCATTTTATGAATAATTGCTTTGGTATATTATGAAAAAACAATTAGACGACTTATAAAATATTTTTACTTGCTGCATTGACTACTATTGATCCATTAATCATAAAAAGTAAAATTAGTTTATCAATGTAGAAAAGCTTAGTAATGGAAGGCATCAATGTCACATACACTTTCTATGTAATAACTACAGCAGGTATATGTAATGGGCGCTACATTGGTGGTTGCTTTCTGAACATGTTATATAATAGAGTATTATATCAAAACGGATGAATATTTTTGAAATCTATTCAAACTGGAAGAATTGAGTCTTTTTTTTCCATAAACCATGTCAATATTGATGCGTTTGAGCCACGTATAATAACTGCGAAGCCTAAATCAGCTCCAGTAGTGAGATGAATTTTTATTATAGATGGCATTGTAAAAAAGTTTTACCCTAGTAATATATATTCTGACACTGTTTTCTTATTGATTAGTTTAAATGTTTTTTAAATAAAGAATTTGACTTTTGAGGTAGAATACATTAGTTGTCAGTTTCTATAGATGGAATCAAACGCCATACGCTCTACTACCGGTTCTTATAAGTAACACAGTCGTGCAAACAAAAACACGTAAGTTGGGTTTGTTATCTAAAGGAGTACCTTGTTGATGCTACTTCAATCAAATATATATTTTTTATCAATTAGTGAATTCGGGGTATTATTAACTATGTATTTGAATAGAAAGTTAATTGAGTCACTAAGATCATTCGTATCCTTTTATAATATAACAATTGATACACTTACCTTGAGTATGTTCTATGAGTTTTAGTCAAAGTGAGATATACACGAGGAAAAGAAAATAGTCAAGTTTTTTTTCTTGTAAAGTTAATATGTTCCTTTCTTTTTTGTCGGGATAATAACAGTGGCTTTTTGATTGAACCCCGTACATCTTTAAAAAGATATTGTTGTGAAGCAGAATAAATTCAGAGTTTTTTCAATATTATTTTTCTTTTGTTCTTGCGTTCTCCTGTGACCTATTCAAAACTCGTTTACATTTTTTTCTTCTTTTTCTAGACTAAACCACTCTTTTTTTTTGTCTAATTATGTGATAGAAAACATGCTTTCCTTCCCCTTTTCTTGTTGTTCCGAAAAAGTTACATTGTCGGTGTGAGTTACTCAATAATTTGATTCTAATGTTCTTTCCGAAGACTTTTTTTTTCTATTTTTAAAGGCCAAATACATTAATGATGTAAAAAAAAGTGAATGCAAAGCAAAATAAAAAAAATGTGTCTTTTGATGTTAGAAAATATTTTCAATTTTTTCAACATTATGAAGATTAATCTTTATGCACGAAAGAATCAAGTTAATTGTAGACATATGCAAAAATTAATTGTTGAAGATGATAAACAAAAATACAACTAGCAGCATAATCTCATAGAACAATAAAGACGTATATTATTCAGTTTTCGATATATTTCAAGTAAACATTAATACAACCAATGTTTTCCTTATATTTACTTTTGAAAACTAAAAATAATGGGATTTAGTTTTCGTTTTGATTTTTGATTATGTAAGATTAACAGTAGGACTAAGTATACCATCGTTAAACATCTAAAAACTATGGACATGTGTTTGAAACAGAACTTTTGCTAAAAAAAATTGACGTTTGGTATAAATATTTATTTTGTTTGCCAATTCGTGGTTGTTTTTTTTTTATTGTTTATGACGTCATTTTTTTACTTAAAGGAGATCGTTTTTTCTTTCTACTTTTCTAAACATCACAAATAGGTAAACTGTTGATTCTAGATAAAGTTCGAACATTTATTATGCTATCGACAGCTGATAAATATTTTCGATAAACTTGAGGTTTATTATAGATTATTTAAGATTGTTATAAACGACGTGCAACAATATATATGTTAGAATTATATCAGTTGTGAGATCTATCAAACTAAAATAAATAGTTTCGTTATCAAGCAAAACGAAATAAAACTATCTGTATTTCTCATTCATCTTGATTTACTATGTTAACAGCACGTTTGTCGCAGGAAATAAATATAAAAAAATTATGGGCCTGTAGGATTTTACCATCACCATCTTACTTTATAGTGGATACTAACTAAAACATCTATCTCTTTTTTGGATTGAAAAATAACTTGAAAAAACTAAATAGCATCGTACATTTATACTACACATATCATCTATAAATCATGTTAAATTCGAAGACACATAAACAGCGATAGAAAATACTACTCAAAAAGCACATGCTCAAAGACTTTTCTTGTTTTTGGATCGAAGCTTGTTAAGACAAATTAAACTTTGAGAGAAAATAGTGGTGAACTCTACAACTTCCTACGTTTAACTAACCTTGAATTAAAATTGAATAGAACATAATATAGATGTATCAGATCAGTTCTTTATTTTTATTTTTTCAGTTTTTTAAATTTGCCTAAATCTCAATTTTGTCTGACACATATACACACCAACAAAAAAAAAAGATGCTTTATAAAAGCATTTTATTATCGTAATACGTTGACCGCATTAACAAAAATATTATCTAGCTGTTCAGAATTGAGATTAGTTCTTCTGTCTTGAATAACCAAATCGATTTCCGAGAATCATCTTTCTACCAGAAGTAGATACAGGATAACGTGTTTGTCCTATTCGGTGCTAATATCTAATTGCAATACATCTCGTATATCGGATTCTTTTTTTTCTATGTCTTTGCAGTCATCATATAACTATGCGATACATTCTCCTTCATAATAGACATTTAAACTTGTACTATATCAAGTTCATTTAGGTAATATGAACATGTATAAGGGTCTCTTCATCTTATTTGTTGCATGGTTAAATTAGGTACGAATCGTAATATTAATTTAGCTGAAATGTGTGAAATAGAAAAGAAACTTTGCTGATGTGAAACACCAAAAGAAACAATATTCACAGGTGTAGGAAAATTCTTGGTTTTTTTTGTCTGCATAACAACTCAGTTATAACGCGTTCAAACAATAGTGTCAAACATAAGAGTTAGATTTAAGTAAAGAAGACCCCTTTACATATTGCAGAACCACTAATAGTAATGATTTTCTTTGATTGATCAATTTCAAATATATCCATGTAGGTGAAGTTAGTACCTGATTCGAACAATTCTAGCACCGATTGACTTAGGATGTGCTCCACGTTCTCTTATTTGTATTTCAAGTTGATTTCGATATGCTCTATCGAATGATGCAATCCGATTTATAATGTCTCATGCTATTGCTTTACACATTGCATAATACTAGTTTTTCACCATAGGCAATAGGAAATTTACGGAGTAATCCCAGAGTGATTCTCCCAGTATGTGTTTCAGGTCTTTTTCTGGGTTTTAATAGAAAGAGCATGTAGCATTCTACTTGGAACCCAGATAAAAGGACCTGAAACACATGCTAAGAGAAACGGTCCTGGAATTACTCGTATCAGGGACTAACTTCATTTACGTAAATATTCCAATTCAACAGTGAAAAGACAACTTTCCTTTTTATTTAACCAGTAAGCCAACTGACATTCTTCATAAATATGATATTGGGTGTGAATGTTGGCTTAGATGAAGACC